AAGTGTTTATTATCTAAAAACTTTCCAAGATATTTTGAATGCTTCTAAAATAGTGTATGTCACTCTCTCGATGTTGTTCCCTAATTTTTTCTATGGTCTGTTTGATTCTCCATGCTATAAGCTGGTATTCATAACTTGAATGTGTGATGGGTGCATATTCATTGAAGCAACAGAATACAGCATTTTTCTCTTTCCAGCTTAAAAATGATTGATGAATTTGGTAATTAATTAAATGTGTGTGCGCTTTCTCTATTTTTTCTCTATTATATCTTCACAAAACAGCAGTTGTCTTTACATTGAGCCAAATTGCACAATGCTTACTCAGACAAAATTCATTTGCCTCAGCAGTGAGTGAGGAGGGAGGGAAGGACTTGGCTCATTATTCTTATCTGGGAGCTCAGTTTGTGATTGCACCAGGATACAATTTGCAATAGTCAATGTTATTGCCAGACTGTTCTGCATTAAGAATAGGACGTTGTGAAAAGGCACAAAGAAAGAATGAGTTCAGAGCAATGAAAGAACATTTTCAGCATGTGTCTTACTGGGCCCTGCCAGCTGTCTCTGACTACTGTAGATTGAAATGATTGTATTTCTGGTAACTGGTCTGACTCAACAGTAAACTTTCACAATGTAACCCAATACAGCTTGAGACAGCAGTTGTTTTTATGAGCACTTTTCAAGCTAGTTAATAGTGATGGTTTAAAGCGAGTTTTGGAAAGCTATTGTTTTTCTTTTCTTTTTTTTTATTGTGCTACTGTTTCTTTTCCCTTAAATGGCATCACTGAACTGAGGGGAGATATATTGTAAATAACTAACATGCTTTGGAAGCCAGCTCATTTCTGTTCCAATTACTCGTTTTAAATACAAAAGGGTTCAGAACACTGACCTAAGTCCTACACGTTGCTAAGATCCCACAAGTCCTACTAAAGTCAGTGGGAGTTGTTTAGCCTCTCTTGGGATTGAGCCTACAGTATGTTAGCACTGCCTATACCACACATTTGCTGACCGCTTTAAGGGAAGGGTCAGATTTATGCATTATTTTTCTACTTTCAGGGTAACCTGATGTCTGTTACCCACTCAAAGAAACTAATAAAAGATCAAAACTTTAAAGCAACTTATAAAACTGTATTTGGGGAGGGTTTCTCATGCAATCTTTTACGTGGACAAAATTGCCTGTGTGTATATACATGCACGCAGACAGATTGGTTGGCTATCTCAGTGTGTGTGAACTTAGATTTCTTACAAACTCCAATTTTACAAACTGACAAATAAGTGCTCTTAGAAATTCCAATTGAAGGTTCAGATTGATTTCTCCGCCTTAAGTTTTTCATTTTGACTCAAGCACACTCTATACATGCCAGGATCAGTATATTTCCTCAGTGAGCCCGCAGGATTATAGCCTCAAGGGAAAAATAATTAGAATCATAAAGTTCCTAAACTGCACATCTCTTCTCCTGTGTGACAGGAAATCAGTTATATCACACAAAGTGATACAGCACGTTTTGCAGTGTGTTCTCTTTGCTGCTTTACCTGCTGATATTTATGAAATACATTATCCAGGCATAAACACTTAGCAAACATCTTCTATAGCCATTTTCCTAGGAAAGGGGATGAAAATATATTTGGATCATAGCTAGACTATAACAGTTTTGTAAAATGTGTTGTGCTCTTTCATGTAAGGTGCTATCAAAATGCAAAAGTATCCCTCCTGTGATACAATCCTAAGTCAGAAGGATTTTATTTTTTAATAGCCTCTGCAGTTTTAGAAATGCACTTTAAAATATTCTTTAAAAATAAGTTATACTGGGTGGCTCAGGTTGGACACTCTCTAATTGTTAGTAATGAACAAATAGGCTAATATATTCAAGTCACATATAATTTGAATGATATTTGGACACCTCCCTCTCAAAAGTTGTCTTCTACCTGATGACATGGAAGGAGATAGCTGGCTGATCATTTCTTAGTTATTTAGGGGTCAGCAACGGACCTTTACATCTTCTCAGAGCCATCCAAGCCATCAAGATGACTACTCTTTAGGGGGTAGACAATCTATAGACCTGACAGGACTAGCTAACTTCCAGGGAATTCAGAGTCTGCGATGGTCCCTTGACATCAGCAGAAGACAGAGATGGATGCTGAATATTTTCTGTCATCATGAATATACCTTTATAATTATTTGGTTGGCTATGACTAGCACTGTCTGAATGATATTTGTGCAATATTAGCCTGCTAAACTGCACTGAAGTTTCCACTGTAGTTTTCCACTGTAGTAGTAATGTATTTGACTTAGTTATTTGGTAACTAAACTAAGATTTGTCCATCACATCAGATTTAACACCCCCTTTTATAATACTTTTTGCTACAAGTATTATAAGGAAAACCTACTGGAATCATTAATGACTACAAGTTGACAACATTGTATTCACTTTACATCTCATCTAAGCTACAATTAACCAGTTAGCTACTGATTTTTTTTCTTCCAGCCTGAGAAGAGATTTTTCATCCAAACTTGATTCATAGCTCCAAATTTGCAGTGATCAGTTTAATTACTGCAGATGTATCAAGAGATGGGCTTTTTTATTTTAGTGCTGGTCAGGAAAATATATTTTACTTTATGAAGTTAGAATTAATGTGAGAGAACTGTGTCATGTAACAGTTAACATGTACTAGTTAGAAGAGTTAGCACTTCTGTTGATAGCAACGTCTGTGGAAGAAACTCGAGACATAGGAAATTCCTTAAGTTGCTTTTGGAGATGGGGATCATTTTTCCTTGCAGTGGTTTTTTGGTTAGGGATGTAATAGTGTAATTGATTAACTGGTTAACTGATAAGCAAAAGCCTATAGGTTAATGCTATAGACTACACACATTACCCCCTTCCTCACCAGTAAATTTTTTAGCAGGCTGGCCAGCAGCCCAGCTCAGTCCTAGCTTGCACCGGATCTGGGACCTACCCCTGCTGCAGCTCTGCATTTAAAGTGTATTAGGAGCCAGGCAAACAGGCAGCCTGGCTCAGTTCTGGCTTGCCTCGGGTCCGGGAGCTCAGATCCCTCCTCCCCGCAGACAGGGGCTGCTGCCACCCCATGCTTCTATGAGTGTAAATATGTCATAAGTGCAGTCCAATCACTCAGAGCCTGTATCAGAGGCACCAGCGTGGGGAGGCAGGCAGCCAATCCGTGAGGGGAGCTGTTTTTGAAACTGGCTCCCCGTGCGGAACAAGTCCCGCCTGGCATCCCACACTGCTGCCTCTGATAGAGCATCAGTCTGACCCCCGGGGACTATAGAATAGTCAACTAACCGATAAGAACTCATCAAGTTAATCAACTGTTCAATTAACTGATATTTAAGATCTCTATTTTTGGTATGATGTACTTCTGCATACTCTTCAGCATGAGAAATGGCATACCAGTACCTAGACAATGAACTGTTGGCTTACAAAATCTTCTGAGGCTGTATTGTTCCTGAGCTCATCTTTTAATGGGCAAGGCGATAGTCATGCATAATTTCTGGGAGAAGTTTAAACATACTGGATTTAAACTATAAAGCCCTCAGCAGTTTGCCACTGTTTACTTTCCAACTCTTCCTCTCCTCATGTGATTTTTCAGCTGTTAAGATCTGGTAAGGCACTCAAGCTAGTAATGCATTGGTATAAATGAGAGAGGGCTGATAATAGGGTGCTTTGGCGGAGGAGCTTTGACTCTGATATTTTCTTCCATCCTCTCCCCTCTGAGTCTGCCAGAACCTAGACTGATTACCTTCAGAGCATGCTACAAGCTTTATCTATTTTTCCAGGTTTTTCTAGGGGAGGGAGTGGGTAGAAAGATAAGTCTTGCATCTAAAGGTGGGGAAAAGCCATCTGTTGTTACTGAGCAAATTTGTAAATATTTTTGACCCAACAATGGTTTTACCTTTGGCACATGCTTTAAAACTTGTAATCAGGACATTTTAGAAACCCAAAATAAATGTCTTAGCTGTTCAGAATCCCAGCCAATAAGCCTATTACCTTGACCTCATGTGCAAATCTGTAAATGGATGGGAAGACCATGATTCCACAGGATAGTTCATTCTGTTGTATGCCTTACCAAGTTGTATTACAGTAGATTCACCCTGTCTGTTGCTGGCTAAGAATTGCAATCTCATCCATTCTGAACTAGATTATTACCTCTTGGTTACTTGATATTTGCAGAACATTAACTCGCTGGATATTTGTATGCCTGTTAATAATCATTAATGTTCAATAAAGAACATGAAAATGAGGCTTCTTTTTAAAGAAACTCTGACAAGTTTTCAAGTGATTTAGACATAAAAGATCAGATTCTCATCTGGTATAAATCGCTACAGTTGAAAGTGTGTTGATTTATGCCAAATGAGAATCTGATCCTATGTCTATCTTTAGGAATAGCTAAGGGGAGTGTAAATATGTCATAAGTGCAGTCCAATCACTCAGAGCCTTGTACATCAGTTCACCATCTCCAAGTCTTCGAGTCAATTTCAAGGACTTGGATAGGATTTAATTTGACACCTTAAATCCAGGGCGAGGGTTTTATATAGTAATTATTTAGGCAAATCTTTCTTTATCTTTAATGAGAGCTTTTTCTGAGTTTGAATCTAAGTGAAGTTTTCAGGATGTCAGATTTTTTAACAGGACTGTAGGAAAAAAAAGGAGAGTTTTAGTGAAAATGTTAGTCTCCATATAATGACTCCTGATCTATTTCTGCCTCCAGAAAGGTGGTGGTAGAACCAAGATGGTTCTAAGATGGATTTAAAGTAGTTAGGAGCCAATGGAAACCACATCTTGTGGAGGAAGCATTACTGCAGAGAATATTATAATGAACTGGATATTAAGGCAGAATAACAATTACCCTGTGTCAGCAGGGTTTCACTCACTGTGCTTGTCATTATAGTGTCTCTTTATCTGATAAAATATCTTGTCATTATAGTGTCTCTTTATCTGTTCAGATAAAATATCAAATTATGTTCATGTCTTACTCCTCTGTTTTAGGCTTTTATGGGCAACTACAGACTTTCTGCCCTCCACATTACACTGATGCTCAGAGGAACATACAACATGGTGGTTCATGTAACATGGTCCCTCCTTTTGAAGACTGTCTAGTTCCCACATCAATGGGTCAGACAGGGTTTGATGTTTTCCACAGAGCTTTTTCAGCACATTCTGGTATTACAGGTAAGTAACTGTTGTAAACTACCTGTGTAAATGTGTAAATGTTACCAGGCTTTGCTGCTGTGATGACTTCTAGTTACAATTAGAGATGATGCGCTTGATCTCCCCCTAGCTTTGTGGGGATGTTAGCCATAGAGATCTGGTGTCGGCACATCTGGCATGCATACACGCTATGGGTACGTCTAGACTACATGCCTCTGTCGCCAGACATAGGAAAATGAAGCGGTGATTTAAATAATCGCCGCTTCATTTAAATGTACATGGCTGCCGCACTGAGCCGACAAACAGCTGATCAGCTGTTTGTTGGCTCAGCGCGATAGTCTGGACGCGCGGGTGTCGACATCAAAGGTATTTGTCGACCACCCAGGTAAACCTCATCCCAGGAGGCATACCTGGGTGGTCGACAAATACCTTTGATGTCGACACCCGTGCGTCCAGACTATCGCGCTGAGCCGACAAACAGCTGATCAGCTGTTTGTTGGCTCAGCGCGATAGTCTGGACGCGCGGGTGTCGACATCAAAGGTATTTGTCGACCACCCAGGTAAACCTCATCCCAGGAGGCATACCTGGGTGGTCGACAAATACCTTTGATGTCGACACCCGTGCGTCCAGACTATCGCGCTGAGCCGACAAACAGCTGATCAGCTGTTTGTTGGCTCAGCGCGATAGTCTGGACGCGCGGGTGTCGACATCAAAGGTATTTGTCGACCACCCAGGTAAACCTCATCCCAGGAGGCATACCTGGGTGGTCGACAAATACCTTTGATGTCGACACCCGTGCGTCCAGACTATCGCGCTGAGCCGACAAACAGCTGATCAGCTGTTTGTTGGCTCAGCGCGATAGTCTGGACGCGCGGGTGTCGACATCAAAGGTATTTGTCGACCACCCAGGTAAACCTCATCCCAGGAGGCATACCTGGGTGGTCGACAAATACCTTTGATGTCGACACCCGTGCGTCCAGACTATCGCGCTGAGCCGACAAACAGCTGATCAGCTGTTTGTTGGCTCAGCGCGATAGTCTGGACGCGCGGGTGTCGACATCAAAGGTATTTGTCGACCACCCAGGTAAACCTCATCCCAGGAGGCATACCTGGGTGGTCGACAAATACCTTTGATGTCGACACCCGTGCGTCCAGACTATCGCGCTGAGCCGACAAACAGCTGATCAGCTGTTTGTTGGCTCAGCGCGATAGTCTGGACGCGCGGGTGTCGACATCAAAGGTATTTGTCGACCACCCAGGTAAACCTCATCCCAGGAGGCATACCTGGGTGGTCGACAAATACCTTTGATGTCGACACCCGTGCGTCCAGACTATCGCGCTGAGCCGACAAACAGCTGATCAGCTGTTTGTCGGCTCAGTGCGGCAGCCATGTACATTTAAATGAAGCGGCGATTATTTAAATCACCGCTTCATTTTCCTATGTCTGGTAGCCTAATCTACATGCCTCTGGTGACAGAAGCATGTAGTCTAGACGTACCCTAAGTATTGGATGTAGTGTTCTCTAGATTCTAAATTCCTGCACACAGACAGGCATATATTAGCTCATGTATTCCCTTTGAAATATCTTCCGCTGCGACTTGTGAAGTCATTCTGTTCCTGCAGTCCACTAGAGTAGCTCATTGGGATGACTCAAGCCATTGGTTTTGCTTTATACCTTTTTGCCCACTATAATTTTCCTGGTCAAGGAATTCATTTGTCTAGCTGTTCATGGGTGCATGCAGCCCGTAGTGCACACAGCAATTCTATCAAGATTTAATTGCTCATTTTCTGTTAGCTCCTTTATAAGGATGTGCATGCTACCCTGAAAAGATCAAATTTACACCTGGGCAGAGTACCTGCACAAGCTGCATGGTCTCTTCTGGTCATGTCTACACTGCAATAAAACTAAAACCCCTGCCCCGTGTCAGCTGTTTAGGATTCATGGAGCTATAAAGTTGCAATATAGGCATCCCAGGCTCAGGTTGGAGCAGTAGGCCCCTCCTCACTCACAGTGTCCAGTGCCTGGCCTTTGGCTCATCTACATTGCAATTTTATAGACACGCTGCCCAAATCCTGCAAGGCTGAGTCAGCTAACATGGGCCAGCAGTGGGTGTTTTTTTTCGGTGTAGATACATTGCATTAGGGTCTGAGTAGAACTTAATAAGTGATGCATAGGCCATGTGCTGTTCCTCTGCATGGAGGCAAATTTCATTTAAAATGTGCTACACATTTCAATCCTGGTGTGAGGTGCTTAACAGCCCTATTATATACCTAACTGCCAGTTTTTATATTCATGGCAGCCATCTACTGAAGCGTTTAAAAATCTAGTCCAAAATAAGGTCCCTGCTCTGCAAACAGTTCTCCTGTATACACCTAGGCTATGTCTACACTGCAGGGTTTTTGTGCAAGAAGTCTTTTGCCGAAGACTTCTTGCGCAGAAACGTATTGCACAAAAGCGCGTCCAGACCTCAAAGTGCATCGCTTTTGTGATGCACTTTTGCGCAAGAGATCATCCACACTGCATGAATGGTCTTGCACAAGAAAGCTCTGATAGCCATTCACAGAATGGCCATGAGAGCACCTGTGCTTTTTCAGATAGATAGGCTCTTTTTGCGCAAGAAACCCCTGCGGAGCATCAACACATGCCTTTTTGTGCAAGAACTGTAGCGCAAAAAGGAGTTATTCCTCGTAGAAGGAGGTATACCTACACTGCAAAAAGTCCTCTGCTCTGTTGATTTATTGTAGATTTTCTTGCGCAAAAATGTGCTTGTGTTGACGCGCCACAGGTTTTTCTGCAAAAACAGGTGTTTTTGTGCAAAAACCTTGTTGTGTAGATGTAGCCCTAGTGCCTATTGAAATTTGGTGTTTGCATGAGAGGGTTCTCTACACTACAATATATTCCCTACAGAAGTTTGCTGTGGGGGTGTTTTAATCCTATATTGTGTGTGTGGAAATCTCATAACCATAATCTGAGCAGCAGAGCAATGGGCAGATTCATAAAATAAAAGGATCTTCAACTAAACTGCACAGTAAAGGGAAACTCCACAGTGGAGCCTCTGCATGATCTATCCATCCATATAGTCACACACACAGTGGATATAATTTGTGTATGCACGTGTATATTATGTATGATTATATGTACACAGTGTGTGACATCCTCATCTTATTGAAGTCAATTGGAGTTTTACCAGTGATTTCTATGAGGCTAGGTCTTCCCTCATAGTAAGCAGTTCAGCTGAACCATTAAGTTCCCATGTATTTTTTAAATGCTATTTCCAGCTGTTCTTCTGTGTAACTATTACAGATAGTTGGTCAGTGTTAATTATTGATTTCTGTGTTCTTTTCCAGTGTATGATCTTCCATCAGGCTCAACAGGCTTCTTTGGTGATTCATTGCGCAATGGGTCTGAGGACACCAGTTTCCTTCAGATAAATGCAGTGGATCGTTGCCCTAGTCAGCTTTCCTCTGTCTATACAGAAGGTTAAAATAATCTAATTCTAATTACAAATATTCTACTTCATATCATCTTTCCTTTCTGATGGCGAGGAAAAAATACAGTCTTCTACCAGACTCCTGTATGAAAGAGGGGGAAATGCAACCACCAGACACTTCACCTCACAGAAACAGCCAATCAAAGGGGGAAATGTCAGTAAATCAAGAAAATGTTGCCAAAACTTAAGCAATTGTTACTTTTCTTTTGCTCTGTTGCATGGCAGCACTATTTTTTTTATTTCAAAGGGAATTCAAATACTGAATAAGAAACCCGCTGCTAGCTGTAATCTTTTCAAATTGAGTTGGTGAAATCATTTAAGAATACGGTTTTGAAAGGGGGAGGAAGAAATGTAAGACCTAAAACCAGAGAACGCTATGAACATTGTAAAAGACACAGCTTCTTGCACAATTGTTTGTCTGTGGTGCTTACAGAGCTAGATATACACAAAGACAAAGAAAGGGAAAAAATTTGAGACTGATCATAGAACCACCAGTTAGAGGCATTGTTGGGGCTTCTTGGAGCCAAAGAACATGGCACTGGATTTCCTGCAATCCTTGTTTTGGTTTTCTGTTCCATTCCACTAGAATTTAAGCCTTTCAGAACAGCTGTGGCTATCTTGTTCAATATTATTTGCATTTGAACATTTTATACAATGACTAAGTCAAGTTTAACTAAAAAGGCACTAGATTTCTTTTATATTTGAGCAGTCCTTATTAGCACTGCTGTGGAGAATTTAATAAATAATGATAATCTTTCAAAATATTTTTTAACCATACTATGCAATTTAAAAGAGATTTATATTTGTGCTGTAGAATGCTATAGGATGGTTAAAAATAACCTATAGAAAAGATATCATTATCCATTAAATTCTGTAGCTTTTTAAAGCAATTTATATGAAACCTTGTTAAATTTCTATTTTTCCCTATTGACTTCATCCTTATACAATTCTACAGAACTTTTCCCTGAAGACTGTTACATTTTAGGGTTTGTTGATGTTTGTGCTAGGTTATTCAGAGATCTACAACTGAGTTGTTTTTAACCTTGTGATGGCCTACAAGTTTTAGCTCAGGCTGAAAGCAAATCACTTTGGCTATTTTAAAACCCACAATGATATGGAAGGCGCAAGGAATTAAATTACGCAATAGAGATGTGGATTTTGCCATTGTTGTGCTCCTGTGGAATTGGAAAACAATTTTTCTTATTTAAAATTTTATTTTAAAATTATTCATTCGTATTGTGAATAAAAGTTGTGGGGATTTTTAATGTATATATGTGCTTATTAATATGATAGCTTCATATTATGGCCCTAAAATCTGAAGAAATTTTTGCAGTCCAACAAGTTTGCATGCTGAAATTTATCAAAGTATTATTCACAGAAGAGATTATAATTTTTCCAATGGAGTCATTAGTTTAGATAGCTACATTTTGAAATATTACCCAGATACCTGCTTGTACTGAGATACTGTTATGATCTGTCTAGTAAATTCATTCCTGATTTAACTGCACTGACTTTGATGAAGTAGCACCAGGGATGAATTTGGCAAAACACCAGGCCTCAGAGGAGCCTCTAAAATCGATCACATCTGCACATATACACTTAACTGGCAGAATTTCATCTGTTCTATCAATAAAAGTATACAACATTTAAACAATTAAGTACATACGCACAAAAACTATACAAAAGTAACAGGGTATGTCTTAAATTTAGAAATTATGTGTAAAATTAATCCCTGTTGTACTCTAACTCTGACACGTGGGATGAATTTGGCCCTCTGTCTTAACTCACATCATTGTGCCTAGACAACATATTGTCCTATTTGCTATGGTGAATGATGTTACACACTTATTTAAAGCATCTGCACTGAGCTGCAGCACAGCTGAATCTCTGGCCCAATGCATTAACCCTGAATTGTAGTGTTTTCTAGAGATTTCATTTTATCCGGTATTAAGGGCCCTCCAATGGTCATTGCACACCTTTGACTTCTGAAGGAGTTGTAAGCATGCTTAAAGTTACAATTTTAGGTTCACAGTGCTCTATCTTACACCACTGAAGTCATCAGGAGCAGTATTGTGGACGGTCAAGTCAGTTAAAAAATGTTTGCCTTACTGCAACTCTGATATGGTTGTCCATGATTTGTCATTTGTCATTTTCTATGTATGAAAAGCGAAAAATAACTGCAGAGTTCAGATATATACCTCTTTTGACCTTTGAAGCTACTGAAAGACATGTTTCTAATCTCTGAACATACAAACTATCTGGTGAGGACTGCTTATAAAGAAAGATGATGAGAGTCTCAGAAGTGGTACAAGAAAGAAGACAAAACACAAAAGGATGTTGAGTGTTTTCCTTTTTGACAGATAAGTTTGAAAAAAAAAACCACTCTTGCGAGTCTTTTTTTTTTTTTACTGTGCACAACTTTTAAAGTGCCTTAATCTTAAAGAAAACTGAATACTATCTCCAGCAGCACTTGGAGATGGGTTACCATTCTACAAAAAGGGGGATTCCCGTTTACTTCTATATCATGATAAAAAGAGAGATAATTCATGATTATTTCATGATCATTCTCATAAACTTCAGGAGATCCTTTCGCGGTGGCTGGATGTTTAACAAAAAATACTCTTATGTGACTTTTCTTGAATATTTAAACAGAATTTTTTGTCACATCACAAATGAAAACTGGTGCTTCTAAAAACATACATAGCTTAACACAAGTTACTGAATTACATGCAAATACATGTGCCTCAACATTTTGTTTTTGTTTTAAATTGCTGGAAAATATTAACTTTCTAAAGGGATTAAATCTAAAAGATGTTTTTATTTTAAAAAATGGACATAAAACAATATTGTAATTAAATAATTTACAGTAATCTTTTTTATTATTCTTTCATATTCAAATGGTGTATTTATATCTACAGGATAAAGGGGTCTACACTGGAGTTAAAATGTAGTTTCAAATAGCATTTTGTATCAAAAAGAAAGACTTCATAGGTTTCTAATATCAGTTGCCGAAATATTGCAATGTTAGTGCTGTCTGTCACGATATACTTTCATAATTTCATGAATCATTGTGAATGGCTTTGTATAAACCTACATTTCACTGTGTTCGTTACCAGTTTTGGTTGTGTAATTTTATAGCATTTTTAAACAGCACTTTTTGTTGTTTGCGTGACTTTTTCTAGTTTTGTTTGTTTTGTTTTGTTTTGTTTTGTTTTGTTTTTTCTTTTTTAGGAACAGGTAAAGCAAAAGACACACTTTTGAAATTGCACATGTGTGTTTAACTTTTTCTTTTGTACAGAAAGCAGAGTATCTTGTGTAACATTTTTACACAAAGCACTTTGGGGAGGAGAGGGAGTGAAAATAAGTTTTCTATAAACGTTACCGATTCTTGTACATATTTATACATGCTCACATATAGAGAGTTGAAGTCCATATTCCATACTGTATATCTAGCTGATATTATTGTACTGGCACATCTGTTGCATATTGCAAGTTATAATCTTTTAAAGAATTAGCGCCACTTTTTTCTATTAATATGTATAGTTTTGTGATTTGTTATAGTTATGTTTCATATAATCATAAGTTATTTTTTCTTGTTTTATGAAGTCTTTTTTATGTAAAAGGTAAAATGAAGGGTTTGTGCATATGAAACAAAATAAAACTGGAAATTTATAACACACTGACATGACTGGTAGAAATGCCTTAAAAAGACTGCTGTAGTCCATGTTTCTCACCATGAGGCTGCTTAATGTTTGGACATTCATTAGAAACAGATATAGGGAATTAAATCTCAGAGGTTTGTTCTAAAAATTCTTCTGGCTTTGGAACCAGAGTTTTGGTCTGGATTTAATAGTATCTAAGGAGGTGAGGAACTTCAGGGAAAAATGGTTGCCTTAATGTGTTTTACATGTTAGGAGGATTCATAAATAAAGGGTGAAGTTTTGTTTAATTACATGTGTATTTTAAGTTGTATCAGTTTTTCTGTTCATGTGCTTCTCTTAAGCAAATGTGCCCTGAAATTTGTTGTTGTTGCTGTTAAGGTTGATTCAGTATATTTTAATAGGTCCATGGAGTTCAGCTCTCTGAGTTCTGAACACATAGAAAAATAGATTCTTGCTTTTCTTCATTGTGTTGTAGAAGGGAAAATACTGGGCAAGACAAGAAGCATAAGCTAATCCTCTATTACTACCCATGCTATACGATCTTTGTGCTGGAGAGCACAGTATGCTTTGGAATCCAGCCGGTTCTCTCTTACCCAGACTCATGTTATAACAATAGATATGCCAGAATTGTTTTTAAATCAAGCAGAAATTCTAAACCAAGAAATGTATCTAGAGTAAAGAGACATCACAAAGGGAGTATGCTTCTGGAACTGACCATATCTAAAGCCAGTTAAACTTGTCAGGGAAGTGGCAGATAGAAAGAAGATCAAGCTATAAACAATTAATAAGCCACTTTGATATAGTTGTGCATAAAGGTCCCTAAATGATGGGCTTGGTTGTACTCCAGTTAAACTCAATGAGAAAATTGCCATTGAGTCCAGTGGGAGCAAGACCAAAGCTAATGGGTCAAATTCACATCACCCTCTGTAACTGCACATATCAATGGAATGAACTTTGCCCAATACTTTGTTAGGCTAAAACTTAAATTACTAAAGGAAACTTACCAGCTGGTTTAGCAAATACCACCAGTGACCCCTGAGAGCCATTCTAAAGTAAGATAACATGACTGAGCTGCAAGATTTTTGTAGTTCATGAGGGGAAAGGGCCCAGCACTACAAGACAGGCACAATAACACACAACATCACCCCTTCCCCCATGGAGACATAGTGGGATACGAGACATCTGAAAAAAGATATAAAATAGATATTGAACATGCAGCTTAGCAGTCCTTGCTCTAGTTCCTGAGCAGGGGAGCCAGGCTGCTTTTGCCAACAATAGGAAAGGGACATATGCTCCTGCCAGCCATTCACAGCATTCCCTCTTCCTACCCAGCACTTGGCGGGGGAGAGCCAGTGTTCCCTGTAAGCTGAGTGTTTCGTGGACACCCAAGAGAGATTCAGGTGCCATTCAGGAGCACCCATAGTCACCCACAGCCATCAGCATGTGTTTCTACTGGTGGTACACATCCACACATGCCTTGGTGCACATACAATTTATTCTACACATGGATGGGAAAAATGAGAAGGAATATTGGAGTGGACCTCCATTTGCTTCCCATCTCCACCCAGCACAACTTGCATGTTCTGCAACCATAGCCACAAGGTGACTGGCCCCTTTAAGAGGAAACAAGGTCTAGTGCACATGTGATGGATTGGCAGCCTCCCAAATGGAGTTAAAGGGCATCTGGGCTATCTAAAGGGTTGGCAGGAAGGGGAGGATGAGAATGGATTGAGAGCACCGACATAAGAAGCAATAAAAGAGACAGGTGGCATCTCTCTGAGGGTATGGCTACACTAGCCACCCTAGTTCGAACTAGGGTGGCTAGTGTAGCCATACCCTCAGAGTCTTCATCTGCATGTTCCCAGGCGCCGCCATTTTTAAATGCCTGGTAGCTCGAACTACCTGCCCAAACTCCTCATTGCAGAGTGTTAATTCGAACTACCTAGTCCGTGCCACGTGTCAAATGGCGGTGCCCGGAAACATGCAGATGAAGCCCGGGATATTTAAATCCCAGCTTCATTTGCAAGTTCGAATGACTACATTAGCCACCCTAGTTCGAACTAGGGTGGCTAGTGTAGCCATATCCTAAGAATCAGACACAAAAGGGGCTAGTTCATTGATCTTTCCGAGCATGATGGGCACAGTTAGGAAGCTGAAAAGGACTGAGTCATCGGACTGTGCCTTGGATGGAAAATGTGGGGTGGTTATAGAGTTCCTGGTCTGCCATGGTTACTAGAGATGACTGGGAGGTGTTGCAGCAAGGTAATAAACATTGGGTCTTCCTGGTTAGGAAGTTCTCTAGTTGCTGCTTAAAGCCTGGCTCTTCGTGGTTTTGACTCACCCTACATGGGGTCATAAACAAGTTACACGAAAGAGCAGAGACCTGCCAGAGTGCGAATGGGGAAAATGGAAAATCAAGAAGAAGATGATCCAGGAAAGGGGTTGCAAGAAGGTGGCAATGCCCAGTCTCAGCACAACAATGGAACCCACAGCACAAATGGATTGGTTTGAGAAGTTTGGTTTTCGGGACCCAGTGAGCTGACCTTGCTGGATCCACAGATTTAAGCAATTCTGGATGGTGACTGCATCAAGAGAGCACAAGAATTGCAGGTAAATTCCCCTGATATTTGCTCTGGGTGATACTGCTGATGATATCGTGTGTGCCCTACCTCCGCTAAGGAAAAGAAAGAATGCTCCAGAATGGAGGAGACTTTTGATGGCCAGTTTAACATGCCAGGAACAAGGGGAAATAACTAAGATTTTGATGAGTGCTGTTTGTAATCTTTCTGGAAATTGCAAATGTGGAATGTTAAAGGAAGAACTCATAGGAGACCAGATAGTTGTTGGTCTTAGGGACATCTTGCCTCCTATGCAGGCAGGCAAGAAGCGTTTTGGGGAGGGGCAACCTCCTGCAGCACTTGTCCCTTGTCCCTCACTCTCCTTCCTCCTGGGGGGAGGATAGCACCCACCATCCCTTCCATTCATGAGTGAATGATCAATAGGGGCTGCACCTCCTGTCCAGCTACTCTGCCTTTCCTTGCTGTTGGTCAGTGGCTCGGTGGTGTTCCCCATTCCAGCTTTAATCAGCAGCGTAAGTGCTACTGAACTTAGCACCCCTGCCAGCCCATCCTTTGCACACCTCCAGCATCCCACAGCTTTGCATTAGGAGTAGAAAATGTTGTTTCTACATTCCTCCTATCTCAGTTTTTCAGTGTGATGCTTGGAAAGGACTGCACTGGTCAACATGCCCATTTATGACCACCGCTCCTTCCCAACTCAGGGCTGATGGTTTCTGCAGCTGCTACTCAACTCTCACAGATCCCTAGGTGAGTGCATCCCCATCTCCAAGAGAGCTTGTCAAGGGCTGATTGTCTAGCTGCTCCTGCCTCTTCCCCAAGTTCCTAAGGCTCTTGTATTTTAGGTGAGTCCTTTGGAGGACATGTGGTGGGAGCTTACACAGAGAGCTAATCAGTTGGGGGGCTAATCAGGCAGTGCTTTCCAGACTCCTGGGTGTTTTGGAGGTGGGGGGCAGTGGGGAGCTATTAAAGTGGAATTTCTCCATCAGAACAATTTTTCAATAGAAAATGCAGTTTCAGCAAAATCAAATTTTTCAGTGGGAAAATTTTGCTTTTTGATGAAATTTTTGATGCATCCTGTCAGGAAAATGAAACATTTTGTTTGGGGCTGAATTGCTCCAAATCTGAATTGTTTGGTTTGTTTCAATGGCCTGAAACTTTTTGTTTAATCTGTTCAACAGTAAACTGCATGTTCCTATGGGAGTTGTAGTTGTCCCATAGGAAATGTAGTTTGGATTCCCCCAGTGCTCTCCTTTGGACTGTGCTCCCTACCTGGTCTACACTTTCAGTGACAGGGAAATCTCCTCTTTGACTGAGTGGCCAGGTGCATCATGGGAGTCACATGTTTGTGGGGGCAACATAGGAGACACCTATTAAATGCTATCGTGTATGTAAGTGTTAGAGGGGCTAGGTTTGTGCAAAAGCACAGCCATCCACTCTTTGGCTCGGATTATCCAGGCAATAACAGGATACTCCACAATGTTCAAGGAACTTGCCATTTTCTAACTTGACCCATGTCACTAACCCTTACTTTAAAAACAACTTCAGACTTACTTAGAATTACTTTTTGCACAAACAGAATTTTAAACTCTCTCTAGAAAACTGTTATTGAGCTTCTACAACATAAGCTATAAAAGGTTTCTACTACAGCAGGCAGTCTTAAATTAAACCCTTTCTATAGCACAGTATGTCCTTCTTCCTGCAATATATATAATGGTCTGGGTAAAGTTAGCACAGTAAGGAAAATACTTTGCTCTTTAGTTCCCCACTGTCTAATCTCCCAGATTCTTAATTTATATCTCTCCTCTGTCCCCCTTGAAACTAAACTGTTCTTATTTCAACGGTATGAAAATCATTCTACCACATCTTCCCATGTCATTTATAGATTTATAGCAAAAGTAAATTTACCTGGCAGTCAGTATCATTAATGATTCACAAAGGAGATGGGCTGGTTTAGTGAACTGTAACAAAGAACTCCTTTCTATGTTCCTTGTTAAAAGTTCCAACATACCTTTGAAATAACTAGCAAATGCCAACCTCATGCATGGTTGCAACTGTGCACACAGGATAAAATGCTGCAAGTACATTACAGCTATGCAGAGGGCACCATTTTTACCTTCAATATTGTATAGTTTGTACCTCCCTAAACCAGCAACATCCGTGGTCTCATAGATGTTATTCCAAAATAACAAAGAGCACGTCTACACAGCAAGCCATTATTTCGGAATGTCGTCGAGCTGGAGGACTTCTTACTCTGGCTCATAATAACCCTCATGTCATGGGGAGTAAGGGGAGTTGAAGGAAGAGTGTTCTTCCTTCAACTTCCTGCTTGTGTAGACAGCGCCAAAAGCCATATTAAGCTATTTCAACTTCAGCTATGCAATTGACGTAGCTGAAGTTGCGTAATTTAATTTGACTTTTACCCTGCTGTGTAGCTGTACCCCTATTGAATAGGACCAGGAATGAAATGACCAAAATGCAATTAACAAATGCCACTACTTTCTAGTACTACCAGCCTGGCTGAATCTAAACCACTGTCTTCTGGTTAACCTTCACCAGTAGAAAGGTGTGTATTTACCATGTGTTAGCTAACACATGGTAACTAATATGAAATAAAATCCTACAACATAATTTGTAATTTTCACACAAGTCGACAGGTAGAGTTAAAACCTAAGGGAAGAGCCTTTTGTTTATGTTAAAATCTACTAATATGTTCAAACTACAAACTTTCTAGTCTTAACTAGGACTTTACGTTGAGTCTATGAGTTAGCTAACGCAA